TGAGCTACAATGAACTAAAAACAAAAAACAAGTGCAGTTAATTTAAAAATAAATGATTTATTTATATATTATATTTGTTATTTCAAACAAAAACTTCATTTTTTTTTTAAAATAATATAGTTTATTTTTTGACTGTAGTCATTCAATGCTTAAGTTAGGTATAACATAGAACTATGCATACAAACATAACACAATTACCTCAGAAAATGATTTAAACTATGTCAAAAATGGTACAAACCTCCAATTTTCATACATATATTGCACTTGTCGTTCAGTTGGATTAACTTGAGCATTTGCAAGAAGTTTGATGAATTCCATTTCATCATATTCCTCATTTGAAGAGGTTAGCTGAACTTCATGATAAGATTTGGCAGCTGATGGAGTCATTCCATTATTAAAGTAGGTTATAAAGTTATCATGGATTCCATTACTGACCTTCAAAAAACTATAAGCTTCAGCATTATGAAGTTTATGAGTATGTATGAATTTAATCTAAAAAATAAAATAAAATACCAATTTTAAATACTAAAATAACTATAGAAATAATACACAAACAAATAGTACTATGTTCCAAATTAAAATTAATGTTACCTAATTAGGTATCAAACATAGACACCTAGGTACTTAATTTAATTTAGTTGTTAAATTATTATTCATTAGTCATTACCTATACTTACATATTTATTTTATGTTTGGTTAATTTTGACTTACGCTATAATTTAACATTAATGTAATCACAACAAAATTAGAGAAAAGTATGTGACATCTATAAATTTAAAAATTGGAATAGAAAAAAAAAACTGTAGCAAAAAAAATTAAAATATTAACAACTTAACCCCTTGTTAAAAAAATTGTATTAAAGGTAAAAAAAAAAACAGCATTTTGAATAAACAAATAGAGCTACATTTTTAGAACCATAAATATATATTTTAATATTAGATAGTAATAGTGTAATACAAAGCATAAAAAGTATTATCACAAAGAGACCAACATAACAGGCTTTTGGGAAATGTTAGATTAGATTTTAATCATGACTCAAATTAAAAAATACATTTCTTTTTGAAATATTTATTGGAATAAATTAGTTAATAAATATACCTACCTACATAATACTAATGTGATGTGTTTTAACATTTCTAGCACAATATTAATATTGTCAAATACAATTCAAAATATTGTGAATATTTTATAATAGTATAGATAGGTATACCATATTTAACAAAATAATATGATTTAATATACCTACTAAAGATATAAAGCCATATAGGTAGGTATCTACTTTTGTAATAGGAAATACACCTTTGTGTAATTTATACAAATCATACTTACCTACTATAAAAAAAAATAGGTATAATTTAAATCTTAATTTATATTAAAGATGAAAAAGTAAGGAAAACTTAAAATACAAGTGAAATATAAATTCGTCCGTACCTACCTGTATTTCAGTATTTAGACCAATACGTAAATGCTCATCTCTTCTTCTAGTGTGCATTGTGTCTTTTTTAATAACAATTTTAATTGCAGCTTGGCATTGTTTGTTACGGTTTCTGGTTGTGAGTATAGACATTTTTTTATTTTTAGAAGAATGTTGACAAACATAGTCTTTTCTGTATAAATAATTGGTTTTATTTGGAAAAGTACTCTTAACAATCCAATTGGTTTTTGAATTATTCGAAAATAAATTGATCCATTCATCACAAGCAAGGCTATATGATTCAGCTTTTTGGTCAATTTTTGTACGAATAATTGCACTAAATTCACTCAGATTTATAATATTACTTTGCACCATAACACATTTTGAATCAAAATCAAAGTAATTAAGATTGGACATTTTTAAACTTTTTTTTTTTTTTTTTTACATGGTATCGGTATATGGGGTGGGACAGACCTCTCTGTCACTTCACCCCCATAGACCATCGTTTATTGGAAAGCAACAAAAAACCAATTTACAAAACATTTAAAACAAAATTAGGAACAGCAATACCTAAGCAGTATGTGTGTTGGTACATAATATGTGGGGGCCTCTAACCACCCTGTTTTGGCCTTCGGCCTACAATATTTATAAACTTAACTAGAGTTTTATTAATTAATTTTTTTGACGTCTTCGTTCTTCCTCCTCTTTCTTCCTTAGCACCTCGTTTATGAATGTCGATCCTATTGCCCAGAATTCTTCGCTTTGGAGCATGTAGTTGACAAAATTGGACGGAGTGATGGTGGTCGCATATAAGGTGTTCACCCTGGACCGTCTGCTCTCCCAGGCCTCGCAAACGAATAGTGTGTGATTTGCATCATCAACTGGATGCCCACAATACCAGCAATCTGAAGAGTCCAGCTTACCAAATCTTTTGAGGTAGGCACTGAAACACCCATGCCCACTGAGAGCCTGCGTTAGGTGGAAGTCTATAACGCCGTGTTTCCTTTTCACCCATGTCTCTAGATCTCCGATTAGAGAGTACGTCCATCTTCCTTTGGAGCTGATGTTCCATCTATTTTGCCAAGCTATCAGCGTGTCTTCGGCGTGCTGGGTTCTTGGGTTTCCTCTTTGTTCGTAAATGTTACTCCTTTCATTTGCCATGAGGTCTAGTGGGGCAATGCAGGTAATGACTCCTACAGCATCACTGGATACCGTGCAATATGCCGAAGCTACCCTCAGACAAATTCTTCTTTGGATTTTCAGCAGTGTTGTCCAACCTGTTTTACTCATATCCTGCGCCCATATTGGTGCGCCGTACAGCAGGATAGAGTGCACTACGTTGCTGAGTAGCTTCCTCTTCCGCGATTTCGCAGCGCTTATATTGGGCATTATTTTAGCCAAGTTTTGCACGACCTTGCCAGCTTTTGCCGCAACTGATTTTGCATGTGCTGAAAATGACCACTTGCTGTCGAGTTGCAGCCCAAGGTATTTCAAGCTCCCACAAGAGTTCACTTGGTGACCATCGATAGTGATGCGCATGTCATTTTGCGTTCTGGTGTTGGTGATTATCATTGCTTCACATTTCTGAAGTGCTAGTTGCAGTCCTGCATTGGCAATCCAGTCCTTGACTCTATTGGCTGAGGTGGTTAGTCGTTGTTCCAGCTGGATACTGTCTCTGGCTTCGGCCACCAGGGCGACGTCGTCCGCAAATGCGAAGAACTTGACACCAGTGGGGAGTATAGTCCTCAGGAGGCCATCGTACAGCATGTTCCACAAGGTTGGCCCGAGGACCGAACCTTGCGGGACTCCGCATGTGACTTCAATCTCTGTGGTACCCTCACCTGTTTCAATTAGTAGTCTGCGGCTGTCTAGGTAACTGCTGATCATTTGTCGCAGGTAATGAGGAACATCCTTATCGTGTACTGCCTTCATGATTGCCTCCCAGGGGGCAGAATTGAACGCATTTTTAATGTCCATAGTGAGGATACCTACTTTTGACTTTGTTGTCTTGATAGTAGCCCTCAGTGTGTTCAGTGCGTCCATTGTTGATCGTCCCTTACGAAAGCCAAATTGCATATCGTCTAGGCCTCCAGTATCCTCTAAGTGGCGCCGCAAACGAGTGTCCAAAATTTTTTCAAACAGCTTCCCCAGACAGTCTAATAGGCATAGGGGCCTGTAGGAAGATGGTTCACTAAGAGGTTTGTCGCCTTTTCGTAGGAGTACCAGCTTGGCTATCTTCCATTTATGCGGGAAAATCCCCTCCGCCAAACAGGTGTTGTATACGCTCAGTAGTACGTTGGGGTTGAGGGAAACGATTACCTTCACCGCTTCGTTCGGGATACCGTCGATTCCTGGGGCTATCTTGTTCCTCAGCCGGCTTGCTGCTGATTTTAGTTCCGTAAGGTCTATTCTCCAATGGGCTTCGTCCAGCAACGGGTTTGGGTGCCCAGAAAAGGTCTCCCTTCTTGGGTGTTGTGGGAATAGTCCGTTGACGATACGCTCTATACGTCCTGTGGCGTTAAGTTCCGGAATGGGGGGCGGTCTCGACAGCTTACCCATAACTAGCTTGTAAGGTAGTCCCCAAGTGTCGTGTTCTACAAGATCACAGAGCTTCCTCCATGCGTCTTCCTTTGCCCTCTTTATAGCGTGAACTAGGCTCCTCCTCGCCATCTTCGCGTTCTCTTCTTCAGCTGTGCTATTTCTGGGTCCGGCCCGTTTTCTCTTCCTTTGGAAGACCCTGCGGAGATGGTTTGCCGTTTTTCGGAGTGTGCCGATTTCAGGGGTCCACCAGTGGACTGATTTCCTAGCTCTCTTGCCAGCTGGAGTTTCAGTACGGCAGGCGTGTATTGCTTCTGTGAGGGCCAGGACACTTTCTTCGGCTTCGTTACAGGATGCGACTTGGTTAAAACTTTCAGTGGTGACTGCAGATTCCAGTATTTTGAAATCTATTTTCAGGAATCTAGAATTCTGTGCGTCTTTTTTTGCAGCGCCAAGATGTATATCGAAAACTATATAGTAATGATCGCTGAGCGACTCTTCGTCTAACACTCTCCATCCTGTCACCTTACTGGCTAAATTGGGAGTTGCTATTGTCAGGTCTAATATACTCCCTTTGCGGAAGGTGCTGCTATTGCCCTTGTTGCAGATAACCAGCCCTAAGGCGTTTATCAGGTCGGCCAGAGCTTCTCCTCGCCGTTCACTTCTCTGCGATCCCCAGTCAGTGTGTTTGGCGTTGAAATCGCCTGTTATGATAACCTCGGTTCGCTCGCTTCTTAGGCTGTACTCAAGTCTGGTTAGGAAGTCCAAGTATTCCGGGAACGTGGAGTTGGGTGACCAGTAGCACGAATAGAGTCTTACTCCATGCGCTGAGACCCACCTAAAACCCGCTTCCCCGGTACCTTCATTATCCAGCCTTGTTCGTTTGATGCTTACGATTGCAGCTTTGCCCATTGTATCCATGTACCAGTTCGGACCTTCATCTCGGTTTGGTTCGCTTGCAAATATGAAGTCGGATGACTTCTCAGCTGCTACTTGGTGTAGCAGAGCCTGGGCTGCTTTGCAGCAGTTCAGGTTGATTTGGATGCATTTAATAATTTTTCTGGTTTTCTAGGGTACTGCTAGTTGTAGCTGTATCCCTATCCTTGGCTTTTGATTTGGGCTTATGTCCGGACAAGGCCAGTCTGTAGGCCGCACATTTACCGCTGCCCGGAAAGTGGTCAGTAGCTTCTTTAATATCCTGACAAGCCACGCATTTTGGTGGGGCAGTGCAAGTCGTCGCCTTATGTCCTTCCTTGGCGCATAGGCAGCAGGCCTCCGAGCGGTCTGGTCCTTTGCATGCTTGTCTTATATGCCCGTATCCTAGGCATCTAAAGCACTTTGTGGCTTTGGCTTTAAGCCTTACTCTGGCGTTTACCCACCCTATTTTTATGCGACCATTTTCAATGATTTTACGGGCATCCACTCCTTTCAGCCGCACAGTGGCTCTCTGTGTACCCATAAACGACTGTCGGATGTTTCTGACTTTGACTGATTTGTCATCTGCATGTAGGCCAAGCGCGCATCGAATACTATTTTCCACCTCGGCTTCCGAAGTCACGCAGTCAAGGTCTTGTATTTCAACATCTTCAAATTTCACGAGCCCGCGTACCGTCGCCCGTAGTCCCAGTTTTGATCTAAGTTGTTCCTCTAGGGCAGTTCTCTCCGTGTCCTTAGCCTTGATTTTGATCACTATTTCTCCATTTCGGCTCTCTGAGATGGAAGATATTTGCGCACCGGTCGCTTCTACATCAACATCTTTCTTCATAGACTTGAGTATGTCGGCTACTGTTTCTCCATCCCCTGGCTTGACGGCAATCGCGTCTGGGAAGGGGGAATTTTTCTTCTTCTCCATGGGTTTGTTTTTTCCCTCGGATCGTTGTTTGTTTGTGACATTTTTAAACTTAAACACTTCAAAGTTCAAACACGTAACATGAAAAATCTAACTAAGTAAGAACTTGAAGTGAGTAGTGACTAGTGACTTACTAGTTACTACAACAACAACCTGAACAACCATGAACCAATATTTTATTTATACATTTTATTTAATTATAACGACAATAACAAAGTCCAAGACATTGGAAAGTTAGGTTATCTAATTCGGCGGTAAATTTGAATTTATATCATATTTAATCAGTTATTGGCGGTAAGTACTTTTATTTTATCCATTGCAGATTAAACAGAAAAATACAGCATATTAGAAAATATTCATCCTATTTTTCATATTTTAAAATGTATATAATGTATTATATTATTGTTCATAAGAAAATTATTTTATTTAAGAATGATACAATTTTTATAGGTGTTATCGATTCCATGAATAAAAAAAAAATATTAATCCATATAGACGCAACACAGCAGATCGTAACTTACAGTCATTAATGTAAAAAAGATCGAGTTGATTTCTCAATCCCGTATGGGGGATGGGGGGATATTGTAGGGTTGTTTCGAAATAAAATAATTTAAAACGATAAAAAAATGTATTTTAACCTGACAACCAATCGTAGCTTCTTTTTTTTTTTTAATTTTATAATTTATAATATAGTGTATTTTATTGTCATTTAATATAAATTAATCAATTAATTTTAATATTTTTTCAATGATTAAACATATTTGATATGATATATGTATAATGTTTTTTTTTCATTCTTTAAAAGTAGGTATAAATTACCTATTTGGTACTCAAGACTAAATAAATAAATAATAATTTTAAATTGTAACATCAAAAATGTATTCAAACATTATAAATGGGTACCTATAATCCTAATTGTCAATGATTCTAGTGATACTATTAATAAATAATAATAATAATAATAATTTTTTAAGCTGTTGTTACAACTATATGTTTCTAATTATTTAGAATACATATTGTCTATAAATAGTAATCTAAAATAATATTACTTGTTGACCAAAACAATTTTAAAAGTGATATATTGATCTATTTTATGGTAGTATATTATAATAAATACCCTCTAAACAACTGCCAATAACTAAAAGAAACTAGTAAACTACTCCTTTTTCATGTAACCAAGTATTTTTTACTATTGAAAAATTATCATTATATGTTGATGATTCATTCTACTGTTCATACAAGTCTGTTTTTTTCTTTTTGCAAGTAAACTATAGAATAGATCTATTCTGTGTGGATATACCTTAAAAATTAATATTAATTTAAGGTGTAATATTTGAGTAGATATACTGATTTTTTTTAATGTAGGTATTTATTATTATTGAATAGGTACTTAAATATTTGAATATTGAACGATTTATCATTGCTTTGATAAATACGCACAGATATAAATAATAAACTAGATTGCTAGGTTCCCTATACTTACCATGTAAACGTTTGAAGCCACATAAGATTATCCGCCATTACTAGTAGGTCAATTGCATCTTATTACCTATGTTATAAATTTGATAACACAATTTCTCACAGATTTAGATAATAATTGCTTAATAATCATAGACCTCTAGTAAAAGGTCTATGTTAATAATTAAAACTTTTTATTTCTTAAGTCTTAACTATTTTGTCATATTAACATAATATACGTTTTATTATTTGACGATTTTTCTATGTTAATTATTTATTGTTGTCTAATTAATTTAAGCTTGTTATGATAATCTTTTGAAATATTTCTTGTTATATGTTTATACCTGTATAAACGTACAAATTAGGTAAGTGTATTATAATATTATATAGGTACTATTTAATTCCAATTTCATTATTATTTATTAATAATAATGAGATATTGAGATATAATTAATAGAATAGTTTAGTAAGTAGGTAGTAGGTATATAGGTATTTTGGCAGTTTAAAACAATGTTACATATTATTATAAAAATAAATAGTTTTACATATTGTAAAATAAAATAGTTTTTGTTTTTTGCTTGCCACCTTCATTATTGAAGAAGTTAGTTAGTATTTTGCTACAAGAGTTTAATCTTATATTTAAGTATGTGTGTGAAATTAAATTGATTAATTTAATTTTGTGTGGTCTTGTATTAATGTCTGTTACATTCCAACAATCTTTGCTTTCAGGAAAAAAAGTTAATGATAAGGCCAATGTATTTTGAACCCAAAGGATTATTTTAGTAAGTATCTATATTCTTGGACAATTATTGCTGTTTATCAGATGTGTGACAGTTATCAGCGGAAAATAATAATAATAATTTCGCGCGTAATTGAAATAGGCCAATCAGAAGCGCGGATTTAATATCGTGGCTAGTTTCGAGTAGGTATTGTTAATACGC